GAGTCGCCCCCTGGTGGACACTAGAGAGAATGCAGCTTTAAGGCACTCCCTCAGACCAAAGCTCACCTGTGTAACAATGATGCTGTTTAATCAGCATGTTCTGCTTCCCTTCCTCGTCTCCCTCAGTGCCTCGATGGGCGATCTACGCCATCTTTGTGGTCGGCGTTCTGCTGATTCTGATCTGCTGCCTGTGTATCTGCTGTAAGTGCTGCTGCAAAGGCAACAAGAAGAGGCGTCAGAAGAAGAACGAGAGGATCAACCTGAACGACGTGAACGGAAAAACCACCACAGCTCTGGTGAGCGCTGTCTGAAGGGGGAATCCGATTCTATGTTGATGACACGATTCACTATCGCTGACAAACGACAACGTGAAAACAGTTTGAGAGTCGGATGATCAACTGTGTCTGTTCAGAATCAATGAATGAGGGTTTTATAGTCAGGTTGAGTTTATTGTTTAACTGTGGCCACAGCTTATGTCTGCCTTTGGGGTACGTCTCGTGACATATTCTCTGTTAAATGAAACAGGTGTGCTGATGTGTTTCCTGTGCTCTGACAGGTTCAGCCCGATGTGGCAGATGTCGGCTACGGATCGACCAAACAGCACAGAGGAAAGCTGCTCTACTCTCTGGACTACAACACCGCTCAGTCTGAGGTGATTAAACCAGCACATCCCACCTCTGAGCCTCAACGTGTCCCTCTGCGTCCCCACAGGACTCCACTGATTTAATCATTTCACTCCCGCAACGCTGACAGACTCGACACAGACGGTTTCAAACAAAAAAGAGTCGAAATTGATGCAGCAGAATCAGAGATATCTTCACTTTTGTTCCACATATTCTTCTTCCTTGTCAAAACATGGCGCCTACATTACCCACAATGCACAACTTGTAAGTGCAGGTGTGTTGTGTTCATTAGCGGCTAATGTAGCCTGGAGCCTGCAGCAGAGATGATCAGCGGCTACAGAGGTCTCACTTCTTTCTAAATCCAAACCTTCATTACCTTCATTATTTTACTTTGAAAAGACTTGTAGTCTTTAAGCGATGCTGACTCAAGTGACATCATTTGACATTACTAAACACCGTCTTGTCTGGTTCATAACATCATCCGTGAACTTCACCGAGCTGTATTCACTGAATCTAGTGAGCTACATCTCGGCTGTTTACTACAGCCGAGAAAAGTAAGAAGGTTTTGCAATAATGTTTTAGCAATAAATGGATAAAAAGCATGCCGAAAAATAACAACATAATAATAATATTTGTAAAAAGTCAGAATTCATGTTTTGTTAGTTTTCTCCGCAAGACGACAAGCAAACAATTTTTAAAATGCTTGTTTTCTGAATGGAGTCCAGATCGATCGGTGCTAGGCTACGCTAACATTGTAGCTGCTCCATCAACACTCAGAATATCTCATATAGGCGTAAATACGGCAGAGTCGACTCTGGTTTATACAGGTACATCTGTACACATAGCTTCGACTGTACAACTATGACACAGTGTCATTCACGCCACCCAGCGAGGTTTCGCGTCTATTTGCGTCTTTGCCTTGACTTTCTATCTAATCACAGTTAGCTTAAGAGTTGCCCTTTACCTCATGATGTCACTAAAGGTCTGTTTCCTGTCCGTCTGTCACAGCTCTCGGTCGGAATTAAACAAGCCGACGGCCTGAAAGCCATGGACCTGGGAGGAAGCTTGGACCCGTACATCAAAGTCTACACCTGCCCCGACAAGTCCAAAACCTTTGAGACCAAAGTGTTCAGGAACACGCTGAACCCCGCCTTCAACGAACGGTTTAGCTTCCAGGTACGAAGCGGTCCAGGAATGTATCGGCAGGTCTGGAATCAGAATCTGTTTGTTACGCACCAGGAAGTTGTCTTTGACATGTTGGGGCCATTGCAGCTGAAAGAGAAACAAGTTCTCGAGCCGTAGAAGAGGCGTATTATTCAGAGAAGAAGAGAATAGAGAATATATTTTATTGTTCTTTATTGTACATTTACCACTAAAATCTCAGAAAATATCCAAATTCTTGATCATAAATTTAATGACTTGAATCTTGGAAATTCTTTAAGTTCTATTTTTGGAACTCTGTTTTTTTTGGGATATTGAACAATATCAACAATTAACTTCTGCAATGTAAGCAGTTTATGACACATAAATAGATGGTGGTGATCTCCCCCCAACACTGGGATAATATGTGACCTGAGACTCTGCTGCTTCCTCTCTGTGATTGTTGTTTTCTCAGATATCAAAGTCGTCGCTGCTGAAGTCGAAGGTGGTGATGCAGATCTTTGACTTTAACAGGTTCTCCAAACACAACATCATCGGTGAGCTCAGAGTTGAGCTCTGCAACGTGGACTGGAACCACGTCATGGAGGAGTGGCAGGACCTCGCCGAGCCCGCCAAATTTGAGGTTTCCATTGTCCTTGTTCCCGTTTTTCACTCTAGATGTTCTTTTGTTTTTTTAGAACCTCGCTGCTGTTTTTGTATCGATAACATTTTTTGCCTCACTTTAAAAAAGTTGCTCTGATGTCCGCTTCAAAAACTACCATAAAATGATATTAAATAGAGATTAACAGAGTTCAATCTTTTCATCATCTTCAGTCCTGATCATAATCATAACTACCAAATATGTATTCGTTTACTATTTTAATCCTATGAACTTCATTTTGTTTACATAATACTGTTAAAAAAAAAAACGCCACACAAATTAGATACAAATAAAAAGAATAGTAATAACAAATTAAAACAAGAATGATATTAATATTAATAATGATATTCATTTTATTCACATAGCACCCGGAATGACACATTTCCTTCTCATTGAGTTGTTTGGTGATCTTTGCTGTAAAGACTTCTGTGTGCTGCAGGAGGAGAACCTGGGCGATATCTGCTTCTCTCTGCGTTACGTTCCCACCACCTCCAAACTGACCTTGGTGGTGCTGGAGGCCAACGGCCTGAAGACCATGGACATCGGAGGATCTTCAGGTCAGACTGAGAGAAGTTCTCACATCGAAATCATTCAGTCCTCCAAAAAATAAGTTAGGGTTACTGCTGGTCAGAAAGGGGGCGCACAAAGCTTTATTCAGCAAGTCAGCAACTTTATAAATTACTATTCAAGCACAGGATGCAGCAACGGTGCCCTCGCAAAAAAGGCAATTTGATCTCAGCAGAAGGAGAGGAGAACGAAATGCAAAATACACGGCCAATGTTTAGGTGTTGAAGATGGGACGTAGGTAATGACGACGGGACGTAGGCACTGACGACGGGACGTAGGCGGTGACGACGGGACGTAGGCGCTGACGACGGGACGTAAGCGCTGATGACGGGACGTAGGGAACGACGGGACGTAGGCGCTGACGACGGGACGTAGGGAACGACGACGGGACATAGGGTACGACGGGACGTAGGCGCTGACGACGGGACGTAGGCGCTGACGACGGGACGTAGGGAACGACGGGACGTAGGCGCTGACGACGGGACGTAGGCGCTGACGACGGGACGTAGGGAACGACGACGGGACGTAGGGAACGACGGGACATAGGGAACGGCAACAGGTTGGAGGCAACAACGAGAATCAGGCGCTGATGGCAACGGCGACAGGTCGTAGGTGATGACGCTGGGACGTAGGCGATGATGACGATGACAACGAGAAGAAGGCGTGACCCAGTTGGTGTCATGTAGAATTCTTTGTTTCGTTCACATTAATGTGAAACGAAAACTAATCGACTCAAATGTTTTTGGTGTAAATCTCAAAATATTTCTAATTATTTCTAAACATTGTGAGATTTTTAATAATTTACATATTTTATTAAAATATGTATTTTCTTGTTTTTTAAATTTTAGTTACAGGCTCTATTACTCCTCAGACAAGTAAAGAGACATTTCATCTTTTTGAACAATCATTAATTCATTTCCATCGTCTCCTCTGCGTGACTTTAAGGAGCTCTTGTTGTCTGTAGATCCGTATGTGAAGGTGCAGCTCGCTCTGGACAAGAGGAAGTGGAAGAAAAGGAAGACGTCGATTAAGAAGAAGACGCTGAACCCGTATTACAACGAGTCCTTCACCTTCAACGTGTCCTTTGACCAAATCCAGGTGAGAGTTTAGAAATACAAGCTGACAGATTTAAACATATACACATTACACAGTCCAACGTTTTCAATAAGGATCTGTTTAGTGAAGAGAACCAGACATTTGTTGGACATTTTAACGTCTTCACATTAAAAGCCTCCCAGTGTTTCGCCAGCTAAATGGTTTTATTGTGAAGCAGCAGCAGCAGCAGGAAGTGTTTAATTTTGGTCAGATGAATAATGTTTGAAGGTTCGCCCCATAGAATAATTAATATTCTTTAATATCTTCAGGTATCTGTAAGGAATTATCTCCATGTTTAAGGAATTTAACAAATATCACCCTTTTCATATATTAATTGTTTTTTACAATTTGAATAAGTTTTACCTCCTTAAAAACATGGAATTTATCTCTTAATTTATTATAATCCATGAATTCTTCCTAATACCATGAATTTGCATCTTTATTTTACTCTTTAAAAAAACTTTATTCACATAGATATCACATAAAAAAATAAATTGTCATCCATTAAACATTATCTCCTTAAAATACCTTTAAAGAAATCCCGTAATTACATTTAATTTTTAGTTTGTTAATAACTTAAAACAATTCTGCTTTAAAGTGCGCTAAGATCCAACGTCTGTCTGGAGGAAAGGAAGAATATTAAAATGAATGTATTAATGAGAAACAACCCCAGACTTAACCTAAAGAGACGACCTCTCCTGCTCCCCAGAGGGTGCACCTGGTGATCTCCGTGTGGGACCACGACGCCGTGTCCCGAAACGACGCCATGGGGAAGATCTTCCTGGGCTGCGACGCCTCGGGGAACCAGCTGAGGCACTGGGCCGACATGTTGTCCAACCCGCGGCGGCCGGTCGCTCAGTGGCACAGCCTGCTGTCGGCCGAGCAGGTCAACTCCACCCTGACCCTGAAGAGGAAGATCCCCCTCCAAAATAAACTGCCCTTCTGATGGCATGAAAACACTTCAAAGCATCAGAGAACGGAGATTTAAAACTCTCTTTAAAGATCATTCCGCTGCTTTTCTTAAATCTCTTTACACTCGAGATTAATTCAAATTAATCATATTTAAATTTTGAGCACTTCCTGTATGAATTGTATGATACAAAACAAATTTCATCCCTCGAATTTATGATGATATTCTAAAGTTTGCTGTGATATTAGTATTATCTCACATCTATGTGTTTAAAATCAGAAGATCTTTTATGCACCGGCTCACCTTATTTCAAATGTTTAAACTTTGAAAACTTTCTGGAAAGTGATTTTATTTTGAAGTGACGAATGTTTGTGGGGAATTTTATATCACTTGAATATAAATGAATATATTTATGATAATTAATTTCTTGCTTTCAGCCTTTAAAATCAAATGAAATCACTTCTGTCTTTTTAAGTGTATTTAGTATTCCCACTATAAAGAAAATACAGCTCACCTGAAAAGAAAGAACCCTGAAGTGATAAAGTGATGAAGAGATGAAGTGATAAAGTGATGAAGAGATGAAGTGATAAAGTGATGAAGAGATGAAGTGCCCTCGTGTGGACAAAGGAAAGAATTGGATCCGTTTGACATGGAAATAGAGAAAATCAATATCAATAAATAAAATGGTGAAAATCAATAAATAAAAGTCAATAGAGTAAAATTAACAACAGGGATTCAAAATAATGTAAAAACCAAAGATTAAGTTTATAAACTAAGAATATAAACAACATAACAAAACATAACTTTAATCAAAGTAAAGTGACACAAGTTATCAGATAAATGTGCAATAAAAAGTACAATAGTTCAATACAATAGATGCATATAAATATATAGTAGCATGAAAAGAAAAGATTTTAATTAATTTGGAAATGTGATGTATAAAATGATAATACACATTTTTCATTTATTTTCACATTTAATTGTTCATTGATATACTGTATATATAATATTATAAAGAGCATATATACATATATTTACAATATTTAAAACAATTTGCTTTAAATTACTTACATTTTTAATTTAAATTTATAATTAATTTATAATTAAGTATTTATTTAATTTGAGACTTAATTATTTTTAACTTCCTTTTGCTATTCCTTGAAGGGCCAAGCTGTCAATCAACTGACGTTGGGCGGGCTTTCTGAGTCATTTGTTTGCAAAGAATGATTATTTAAAAAATATATAAATAAATATTCACATTAAAAAATTAACAAATAAATGTGAAAAAATGTCATTTGCACATTTATTTTCTTCTTTTACAGATTTACTCTTTTTACTCCATAACATATTTTTTCAAGTTGTGAGGTTGTGAAGTTGTGAGGTTGAGAGGTTGTGAGTTTGTGAAGTTGTGAGGTTGTGAGGTTGTGAAGTTGTGAAGTTGAGAGGTTGTGAAGTTGAGAAATTGTGAAGTTGAGAAATTGTGAGGTTGAGAGATTGTGAGGTTGTGATGTTGTGATGTTGCAAGGTAGTGAAATTGTGAGGTTGTGAGGTTGTGAGGTTGAGAGGTTGTGAAGTTGAGAAATTGTGAAGTTGAGAAATTGTGAAGTTGAGAGGTTGTGAGGTTGTGAAATTGTGAGGTTGTGAGGTTGAGAGGTTGTGAAGTTGTGAGGTTGAGAGGTTGTGAGGTTGAGAGGTTGTGAGGTTGAGAGGTTGAGAGGTTGTGAGGTTGAGAGGTTGTGAGGTTGAGAGGTTGTGAAGTTGTGAGGTTATGAGGTTGTGAGGTTGTGAAATTGTGAAGTTGAGAGGTTGTGAGGTTGTGAAATTGTGAGGTTGTGAGGTTGAGAGGTTGTGAAGTTGTGAGGTTGTGAGGTTGAGAGGTTGTGAGGTTGAGAGGTTGTGAGGTTGAGAGGTTGTGAAGTTGTGAGGTTATGAGGTTGAGAGGTTGTGAGGTTGAGAGGTTGTGAGGTTGTGAAATTGTGAAGTTGAGAGGTTGTGAGGTTGTGAAGTTGTGAATTGGTTGTGAGGTTGGAGCTCTGCGCCCGCTCGTCTTTCCCCAAATACACGAAGGACTTAAACCCGGACTGGAGACCAATCAAGCTGAGTTCAGCAGGCGAGTGTTCCTGCTGCTTCAGGCCTCCAGAGATCAGACTCATTAAACGTCCCTGAGCTTTGACTTTCTCTCTGCAGCTGATGCTGACACCTGATCTCCTTTCACCTGGAGGAGGAAATGAACAAGGAGACAGGAGACACACCTAGAACACTTAAATACAGGCGCAACATTCATAAAACCAACCAAGAAACATTACTAACGTATATACGTACATAACCGTATGTCTGAAATATTCTGACACATAAATAGTTTGATGTCAGTTGTATATTTGTGTCCCTACATTGATAATATGATTTAAAAAAAACATATAGATGAGACATTAAGAAAAATACTTTTTAGTAAAAAGAGAGTAGAAATACTCAGTTGCAAGTAAAAGTGCTGCATTAACAATTTACTCAAGTAAAAATACAAAACGTATTGGCATCAAAATGTACTTAAAGTACCAAAAGAAAAAGTACTCATTGTGCACATTTCAGAATAATATATATTATACTATTGTATTGTAATTATTGATGCATTAATGTATTTATAATGTTCATGTTGCAGCTCATCTAATACACTTTATATACTACGTTTGTGAATTTCCTCCTACGATCATTAAAGTTACAAGATCATTTAATTGTTGATTATATCTTTGTATTCAGAGTCAGAATCTGGAAAGTAACAAAATCAGACAAATGTAGTACAGTATAAAGTACAATATGTACCTCTGAGATGTAGTACA